TTTAGCAGAATAGTTTGAGTCGGGTTAGACTTATAGATTCTTATCAGTTGGGTTGATAGACAGGCTTAACTTACAAATTTTTATTCAAAATTTTAAATCATCTTTTATAAATTAGGATAAATTGAATATTCAAACACACTAAACAAATCATAAATTGAGTGGACCGAATTAAGTAATGGCAGTGGTGGATAAATTATTTAAAAAGCTCTGAACAAATCTTAGTGGTGTTCTATGTTATAGTTGTGGGTCTAAACTACGAACCTCATTATTTTCATAAGAAATTGTGATGAATCTTAAATAAATTATTAATTCTTTTATTAAATTTCTCACATAGTCATGGGATTTATATAAATTATATATGTGTGAGTCTCACACTTCTGTAAAAGATTTAATAATAAATTTGATAATTTATTTATAATTCCTAATCTAACTTATTTTCATATTAGACTTTTGAAAGACAATTATTCAGGGAGTATTGAATAATCTTTTTCAATCAATACCCATATAAATAATATCACAGATGTGGCAGCCGTGTAGTGGCTGCCCGTAGACAAGTGGTTTACAAGTAGGGTAATAAACAAGTGGTGTAGAATGCAATCCAATCCTGAAATTTTTGCTGCAGGGAGGAACTCCCAATCCGCAATAATTGGTTATATAATTTGACGGACCCACTTGGAGAATGAAGCCATACAGAGACAAACGTAAAGTTCGCGTGCAAAACGTTAGCAAGTGTTAGAAATTGAGTCGGGTTTAGAATTCAAACTTAATTGGGTAAATAAAATAATATATTATATTTTAAAATATGAGATAACTTTGATATAATTGTTAATATATTAGATAATAATTATTAAATAGATATTATCTAAGATAATCTATCTATTTTATGGGTCCCTTAACTTTCTTATATAAACACAACTTGGGTTCTGTATTTGACACAACAAAAATTATACTTCTCTCTTTTCATAAATCATTATGTGTTTGTACTATGAATAGTGTGAATAGTTTTTTAGGAATTATTCGAAGATATTAATAGAAGCACGTGATTTACTCATATAATCCATGGTTCCAGTTTGAACGTAAAAGGTATGGCCGAATCCGTTTATTTGTGATGTGTATATAGTATATTAATTTCTGCATTAAAAACAGAGTCATTGTTGGGTGTTTTCATGTGCATAAATATATGTAAAGATATGATTTGGGTATAAAATTGATGTTTTTTGAACTATCGTTGATCTTCCTGAATTTCATATATATTGTAGTCTATATTATTTAGACCATATCTGCAAAGTTCTACAAAAATTGGACAGTCGGATTTTGAAAAAAATGAAGATTTATATCTAATTTCCGTAACTTTAACTGCATGCTGGTTTTACATGATTTGTTTTCATATTATGAAAATTATATATTTAAAATCCTTGTTTCGAGACCTTTGAAACGGTATATTATGAGTTTGATTTCGACTTACAGTTGAGAATTTTTAGGCGAGAGTTGAAACAAACGGAGAAAAGGATGAATTTGCTGACGTCATTCACTTAGGTAAGTGGTGACGTAGGAGCTGAAAAGTATAAGACTCTGTTTGATTGTTTTAAATTTAAAGATTACATTAATTGCTTTTATATTATTTAATATAATTCTAATTGAAGCATGACTTATACCTTTGAATTCGTAATTACTTTTTCTACAATTTCTTAAATATTCAAAATTTTATGAAAAATAAAATATTTTTGATTAATGAATAATTCAATATTTTAAAGTTAAATTGCTCTTGGAGGAACATGACTTGGATTCTAAATTTGAAATTTCTATATTAGACTGCTGCTATATAATCTTATTTACTGGTATGATTTTTATATTTTTTCAGATTATGTAATATTTATTTTTGATTTTTTGTATAATTATTAATTACTTGTAATTTTAGAAAATTTCATAAAATTGTAAATATTATAGAAATATGTTATGACATTATTTAAATACTGTATATAACATGTTAAGTTCTTTTAAATTATTAGAACTTGTAGTATGTTGTTATTTTAAATAGCATGATTTATTTATATTGGTAAATTTTAATTCTATGATTAAATATTCTAGCATGTTTTCTTTTATGAATTACATTGAGATATTATCATGTGGAGTTAAATACGTTATCATGCTTTAGACATGTCATAGTTAGTAGGAGGTCGTTCGGTTGAGAGAAACTTTATAGATTTACTCCCGAAAACTAATATTTTGCACATGAATTAAATCAAATTTTAGATAATTGTCACTTGTGGCGCAAGAGATGATTACGAGCATAACAAATTTTCGATCTTGCGACTTGTGTAATATTGTCACTATTTAGGGTTGGTTTGGGGTGTCTACAATTTCTTAAATTTTCAAAATTTTATGAAAAATAAAATATTTTTTATTAATGAATAATTCAATATTTTAAAGTTAAATTGCTCTTGGAGGAGCATGACTTGGATTCTAAATTTGAAATTTCTATATTAGACTGCTGCTATATAATCTTATTTACTGGTATGATTTTTATATTTTTTCAGATTATGTAATATTTATTTCTGATTTTTTGTATAATTATTAATTACTTGTAATTCTAGAAAATTTCATAAAATTGTAAATATTATAGAAATATGTTATGACATTATTTAAATACTGTATATAACATGTTAAGTTCTTTTAAATTATTAGAACTTGTAGTATGTTATTATTTTAAATAGCATGATTTATTTATATTGGTGAATTTTAATTCTATGATTAAATATTCTAGCATGTTTTCTTTTATGAATTACATTGAGATATTATCATGTGGAGTTAAATACGTTATCATGCTTTAGACATGTCATAGTTAGTGGGAGGTCGTTCGGTTGAGAGAAACTTTATAGATTTACTCCCGAAAACTAATATTTTGCACATGAATTAAATCAAATTTTAGATAATTGTCACTTGTGGCGCAAGAGATGATTACGAGCATAACAAATTTTCGATCTTGCGACTTGTGTAATATTGTCACTATTTAGGGTTGGTTTGGGGTGTCCTAAAAAAGTGAACTTTTTGTCTTTTTACGAAAAGATGTGCAGAAAAGTAGAGAGGTAATGTGATGGAAAAAAGATAAAAAGATGGATTATATAGTGTACCCCAAACCAACCTTTAAATTTAGATTTTTGCAGCAAAATTATATTATGCTAATCAAATTAATCTCAATGCGCATATTTTTTTCTCTCTAAATTGACTTAGCTTATAGAAGTTAATTTGGTTGACTTAGACTTAGTCTCTACTAGTAGTGTATAAATTTGCCCTTTGCAAGATTCAATGCACTTATTGGGTGCATCTTGAATGAACGCAAATTGGTCACCAAAATATATTTAGAGAGGTAATATCGCAAGAGGTAGTGATCTTGAACCACTTCATGTGAAGCGCACATGGTGGATTCTGTTGTATATGTTTATCGCAAGAGGTGCTGATAGGGCTTAATGTTTGGAATCTAGAATTGTGCAGACTATGATTGTGTTTTTTCAATCGATCACTTATTTTTTGTGAGATTATGGGATATTGATGCAATTATGGTTTGTGTTATAATGATTAGCAGATAATGATGTCAGCAGGCAAGATTGGCTCACTCACATCAGCAATCGCCCTTGGCGCTTGGGAGCGAATAAGGATGAGACTAGCGGTTTATTTTATTTGGAGCCAAGAGAGGCTTAAATTATCCACTGTGTATGTTGCCTTGGTTGCAACCAAGATGAGGTCGTATTAAAGACCCAACATGGATGTTAGTACCCACTTTCCATGTGTGTGCCTGTTATGATTAGTCAGATGCGAGATCTCATTTGTCGCTTAGAAGACAAGCAAATAGAGGATTCGGGTTAGGCGCTAGAAAATGACTAGACTAAGATATGTACGGTGTATCGAGTATGATGTCACTCTTTGGAAGAATTACTCCTCTATAGCATGTATTCATACTACATGTGTTTGGCGACCGAGTAATGAGGTGAGAGAATAGATCATTGTTTCCTCTCCGTGTGAGTCTTACGTGTCATTATTGATATGATTTTTACTTTTGTACCCTTTTGTGACCTTTGACTATGTTATAAGGTACGGGGTTGATGTTATGCTACTTTGGTATGTTGTCTGTGATCATGTATAATTCGGCCTTAAGGGACATCACTAGGAAAGAGGTCAACTCTAAACGAAATGGCATGAAGGAAAAAGAAAGATCATCTAGTATTACACCACTGTTATAAATTCACTGCCGGCAACTCACATCACTCTGTATGAGAGGCGGATTGAGTGTGAATATATTGCAAGAATTGAGAGGGTCAAACATGCTCTTTTGAGGGTTTAGAGATGCTTTTTTGACCGATGTAGTTAGATGGGTCTGGGGTATATAAGACACTATTTTATTTTCGAGTTAATGTCTCTATGCTGGCTCGTTCTGAGTTTCTAGTGTAGAGCTCCCACATGTAGGTGTTCTCAGTGATCGCACGATTCATTGGCGAGTATGATTACGTTTATTAGGTAGATTGAGATACAAAAGGTGCGTTGCATGCCAGCGTATGTTCAAGTGGGAGATGTTAGAAATTGGATTGGGTTTAGAACCCAAACCCAATTTGGTCGCCCATGGTGGCATGACCCGATTAGTAGAGATCCAAATAAAATAATTTACTTGATATGAGATAATCTTGATATGGATAATTTCGATATGCATAATTGTTAATATATTAGATAATAATTATTAATTAGATATTGTTGATATGAGATAGATGTTATATGGGATAACGCATCTATCTTATGGGTCTCTTAACTCTCTTATATAAACAGGACTTGGATTCTGTATTTGAAACAACAAAAATTATACGTTTTCTCTTCCCATAAACCATTTTGCCTTTGTATTGTGAATAGTGTGGGTAGTTCTCTAGTAGTTCAACTCCACTATTGGGAAATATTCTAATACATCAATACTATTGGAAAATATTCAAAGACACGTGATTCACCCACATAATCCATAAATTTGATTTGAGCATAAAAAGTATGTCCAAATCCGTTTATTTCCGCTGTGTATGTAGTATACTAATTCCTACAGCAAGCAAGCAAAGCCACAAGAGAGAGGACACTGTTTTCAACTTCCTATCACCAAGGCAAGCAGCAAGTACCACAAATGGAAGGAACTCATGAGACTGAGATAGGTATGAGAGAGAATATGCTTTATGACGCATCAGTGAGTGGGAATACTGAGTCCTTGAAGAAGTTGATTGAAGAAGATAGACTCACTCTGTCCCGATCTTCACTCACTTGTTTCGATGAGAATCCTCTTCACATAGCTGCTATGCAAGGTCATCTGGATTTTGCAAAAGCTCTTGTGACTCTCAAGAAAGACTTGGTCTCTGATTTAGATTCAAAGGGCCGATCGCCTCTTCACTTGGCCTCTGCAAATGGGTATATAGAGATAGTGAAGGTGTTGTTAATGGCGAACCCTAATGTTTGTCTCATGCGAGATGAAGACGGAAGGACTCCTCTTCATGTGGCTGCCATGAAAGGCCGAGTTGATGTGGTGAGCCAGTTGGTTCAGGCACGACCAGAAGTAGCTAAGTTCAAGTTGGATCGAGGTGAAACTGTTCTGCACTTGTGTGTGGAATATAATCGTTTGGAGGTTTTGAAGCTATTGATAAGATTTACGACGGTTGAGGATACATGGGTTAATGACAAACTTGATAATGGCAACACTATTTTACACATTGTTACCAACCTCAAGCAAGTGGAGGTAAAAGTTTTCTTAATTATTATTTGTTATTTTTGTTTAATTTTCTGATCCACAAAAAATAAAATTAAAAATTGTTGAATGAAAACATCCTTTACAAAGCACCTCACCCAAGTTTTTTAGTTTGCTAGAATTTGATTTATAAGTGTCCAAATAGTTTTAACAATGGTTGTTCTTTGTTTGCCTCCAAATTAGTGAATCATCTGATACAAAATAGGTTCACAATCAAGAAAAACTTAATTTAACACATTAAAAAAAAAAATCATTATAAAAATAAATAAAGCTACATATATGATAAATAAAATAAAATAAACTTTACTTATAATGCAGGTGCAATTAAGATTTAATCAATGTCAAATTCATATAAAATAAAGTAATTTTGTTTCCTCGTTGTATTTATTTATTTATTTCTTTACATAGAAATTATAGAAATAACAAATTAAAAAATAACACACAATTGCTAAGAGAGAAAAATTGTGTTACTTTTAACAAGTAAAGTTATAAACTTGCACTTCTTTTAACTTTGTAATAAATGGGTTTTCATTGTGCTCAATAGGACCCAAGAATTTTTTGCTTGAGAAATTTTTGGGTGTTGACAGAGTAAGTGCCATGTGATACCTTTCTCTTCTCTCATTGGTTGAGAAAGGGGGGGCTACATTTATGTGTTGGGTGATAGGGAAACAATATGAGAGGTCATGATATTTGTAATTGGTTGAAGGCACTACTTACTCTTACATGTGGCTAAAGTTATTGGTGGATTTTGTGCTGTGAACCACGTATAAATTACCTTTTGAAAATTGGAGATCTTTCTTATTTTCAAACCCAAGGCAATGATCTTAACGGCCTTGCACATGGGCCAGCCCTGTATTATAAGTAACAAAAGGGATGCATATAGAAATAGTATCTACTTTATATAAAAAGTATAATTTATTTTAGTTCATCACTTAAATTTTTATCAAATAACATTTCAACTTTAAAAATTTAACATTCAATTTTCATAACTTTAATTTTATGTTTTTTAATTTTGAGTTTTATCAAATTACACCTTACTTAACAAATGACGGTGGACACCATGCTTTATATACATACTTCTAATCAAAATTTCAATAGAAATACTTCTAATAATTTGCAGCAAAATAATTAGAATTAATTAGATACATCATATATAGATTCCTTTGTATTAATTTGTGCAGACCATAAGATACCTATTGCAAGAAACTGCGGTGGAAGTGAATGCTGCGAATGGCAATGGTATCACGGCTTTGGATATCATAGAACATATGCCAATTAGAGATTTAAAGGCCATGGAAATCAGTAGATTGCTTATGCAAGCTGGAGGCCACATTGGCCACCAACTGCGTGATCATGGTAGTGGTCATGGGGAAATATTAGTATCACAGCCACCCTCGCTGGTCAATGGCACGTTGAGGCCCCCAACAAACAAACATGATTGGTTAAATAGAAAACGTAATGGCTTGTTGATATCCGCAACTGTAATTGCAGGAATGGCTTACCAATCTGGGCTTACCCCACCTGATGGGCTTAAATCAAATGGAAATTCCGATATGACTGCAACAGAATTTCAAGTATTTTGGATTGCAAACACAATATCTTTTGTTGCTTCTCTGACCATAATGCTTTTGCTCGTAAGTGGGTTACCATTGAAGAATAGAATTGTGAGGTGGATGCTACTGGTTGCAATGTGGGTGACAATAACAACCTTGGTAATGAGTTATTCTTCTTTGATGACGGCCAATTCGGGAGGACTTATACTTGGGCCTAACTTCAATGCGCGTGTCATTGTCATTGTCATATGGGTGTACTTATGCTTGGGCCTAACTTTCATAGTTTTCCTTGTCCACACTTGTCGCTTCATCATTTGGATCATCAGGAAAGTGTGCAAATGCATAAACAGGAGAAACACAAATGAGATTGAAGGTGGTCACCGACAAGGGCAAGTTCAAGTTTGAAATCTCAACATCTTTTAGTTACTACATATTGTATGTACTATACTAGTACTAAGATAAATAACCCATCAGATCTCTATCAATGGGCTTAGTTTTTGTCTTCTCCAGGAGAAAAATGCATCCACATGGACAGCCACAAGTGAGATGGGAGAGACTATGTAATGCCCCGGTATTTTATTCCTATTATAATTACAAATCCTTTATAATTATTCTCATTTACATTAGGAGTAGAAGCACCAAAGAAATATATGGAACATATCAATCTGATACCTGAAAAGTACTTCTCTTCCTCCTTGAACTTCTCAAAAGTGATACATGTTCACATTACATTCGGATCTTTCCACAAACATGTTCACATTACATATTATTATTTGCTAATTTTATCTACATACAACCAAAAATATTGACAAACTGACAATAATTCAATATGAAAAATCACTTAAATTACTGTTTAAACGTCATTCAACATACAAAATACTATTTCATCAATCATAAACCATTATATTACAAATATCAAAAGCATTTATGTTCAATAACAAATAGGTCATTCTTAAAAAAATACATAAAGCTCCACTATTTTGTTTGAGAAAAAAATAATATGGTGTTAACATTTACCAAAAGTTCCATAGAATCAAAATAAATAGAAGCAGATAATAGTTGCTGGCCTATAATAAAGCCAGAAGGGTATCCCTTTAAACATCCTGAAGAAGCTGGGATTTGGGTTTGTTTAAATTTATTTTTCCTTGACATGCTGTAAGTATTTTCTTGTCTTTTAATTTTCCTTTTATTTTCACATCTTATATCGTAATTATGGATGTACTACTGCTAAACTCAAAATATCTATCTGCTCTCCACCTTTCTTGATGCTATAAAAAGTGCTCCTCCCCTCAAATTTTGTAAATCTGTCATTTGCTGCAATTTAGGACCTAATTATTCACATGCAAGTTATGTTAGGCAGGTGACTTTGAATATCCACTTTTGTGTAAAATTTTCAAGATGGTTGCTTTTCCTTTTTCTTTCTCTCTTTCTTTTGTTTTTTTATTGAGCTAGATGGTTAAAAATTAGCTTTGTACAAGTGCATTATTTGGGGTGTTTGGGAACCCAAGTTTGAGGCTAAGATAGCCTCAAAACCAAGGTTTTGAAAAGCGGTTGCGATCACCGTAACGGTGGCGGTGGCGGTGGCACGGTGGCGGTTGTGGGATGTAAAGGCCATAGCGAAACGGCTGCGGTAACCAGAACTGTGAATTTTTATATTTTTCGCACAATTTGAAAAAAACTTACCGATACGCATATTTTTTTTCCATGGCCATATTTATTGGGTTTAAAATAAATATTGATCAATTTTTGTAAATTTTTAAATATGATCCAATATATTTATTTTTAAATCACTATAAACTGAGTTTTTTACATTTTATTTTAATAATTAATGACTTTATATTATACAAAAAAATCAATCACTAACTATTTTATATAAGATAAACAATGACATAAGTAATGTAAGAGAATAAATAAGAGTTTAAATTTATATATATATACATATTTTAACCAAGCCAAATAGATAATGACTACATTTATTATTATTATTATTATTATTATTATTATCAAACAATATATAGATAGACACACACGCAAATAAAATAGTTGAGTGATAGCAGCTGAATAGAATATCATAGGTTTTACAGTTTCAACAAATCAATAATATGTTCTTCATCTTCCCTCTTCTCTCTCTATCTCTTGCTCCTCCATCTTCTCTCTTTATCTTTCCACTTCTCTCTATCCCTCTTCCACCATTTTTAGCTTTTTTTGTGTGTTTTTTCGAAAGAAACAGTTCAGAACCGTTACGTAACAGTGCATAACAGGCCGTTACGACTGTTACGGTACCGTTACGGCCGCTACGGCAGCCGACACACCTGTGAATTTCAATCACACTGCAAAAGCGGCCGTAACGGGTGGCGGTAACCACCAAAACCGTTACGTAACGGTTGCAGCCGCTTTTTAAAACCTTGGGTACGACATAGGTAGACTTGTGTAGTTTACACTATAAGAATTTAAAGTACTTTCAGTTGAGTTTTTTTTTTTTAACAATTAGATACCCAAGGCCTCTTTTAGGAACATGCTTATTTATTTTAAGGCCTCATTTAAGAACATGCTTTTTTAGTGATTTTTTGATTTTTTAGCTAAAATATGAGATGAAAAAAATCAATATGTTTGGGATGACTTTTTATTTTTTTATGAAAGAATGTGCAAAAAATAGAGTGAATGGAAATAAATCTTTGACTCTTTGGTATTTGTTGGCTTTTTGGATTTTTTGGTGACTTTTTAGCTTTTAGGTAACTTTGTGATGTTCCCAAATGAGGCCTAAATTAATATTGTAACAACACATTTGTATGAGCATTATAACCCAAATTTTATATTTTGTATCATTATATTTGATAAAAGAAAATATATTGGAAAAAAAAAAACTTTTCAAATTGTTGAATTTACCGCTTTAGAATGAAAGTATACCACATTTCAAAAAGTACTTTCCAAAATGCAATCATTAGGGTATTAGTGTTTTCTAGTAACACTAGTATATATTTAGTATGCAACTCAAAAAATGAAACCCAAAAGGCTGATTCGTACCTAGGTCATAAGGCTTTGATATGAACAAGATGATTAAATTTCACGTGTCAATGTCTTCCATGCTAATAGGGCATTACATGTAAAATGCAATGCCTAGTAACAAAAAGTTCATGTTTGCAAACAAAAAAAGCATCACACAATGATTGCAGTCAAGTAATAAGGAGTGAAAAATGAACTTTAGTTAAATAACACTACTGTCAATTTAACAAAACACTAATTAAAAATGAAGCATGAATACTTCTAAAAAAGAGTCGCATCAGTATCCATATCGTACCTGTATCAAACACCGACATTCATTGGATGCTCGCAGATACATATGAAATACTTCCTAAGCATATCTTATACTTGATGTTAATTTTGAGAAGTATCAAATACTTTTCGGATAGTCATGTATCCAAACTACTATGAAATTGAGATTGAGATTATAGTAATTTTTGCATTGTATTAGAATTCACAAATTAGTTTCAAGAAGATATTAAGTGGTTAAAGTCTTGTACTTTTGTAGCACTAGTAATAGATAGTGTCTAAGTTGTTATCAGATAGCCTACTATTTTGCAAGTGATTTGTAGAGTCAATTGTCAATGAAAAATATCTTGTAAGTTGTAACCTATAAAGCATGGACAACTCTCGGAGGTCATGTACAAGAGTCCGACATAATGTCGGACACCCTGGAAAGGAGTGAGACACTTGAAACACACTACATACAGACACACTGAGGACACATTGGGAACACGCAGGAGACATGCTAAGGACTATGTTTTTCAAAAAAAATTAAAATTTTAAATTATTTTAATAAAATAGCATACCTGAAGTTGAAAAATTTGATAAAATTAAATATTTGACAAAAAATACATTTTAAATATTTAAAAATATGACACATAATAAATATATAAAATTCCATTTTTTTCATGCGTCTCCGACGTGTCATGTCCTATATTTTTTAAAAATTTACATATATGCATATCCGTGTGTTTGTGCTTCTTAGTTTGTAATTCACTTGTGAAGAGCTTAGAAGGGTTCTCCATCGCTACTAATTGAACCTAAAAAATGTTTCAAGCCCCCGGTTTTCTTTCCCTCTTTTTCTATTTTCGTCTCAATTGTTTTGATTTTACACAGAGAGGCCCATATCGAAACTGAAAGCCAATTCAGCACTGCAGCTTTACAAACTAAATTAAGTAAAACATAGAATTAAAAAACATGATCCAATTTAGGAATTACTCCATTTGTATGAATTACAAAAGCAAACTCTACCTAAGCAAGTTATATCAATTTTAGTATTTTGATGCGCAATTAGCAGAATTGAGAAGCAAGAATTCAGTGAAATGATAAACAATAAAAACCCTAACTCGAGATTACATACGCCCTCTACGATAGTGATCAGAAGGACCATCTTAAAACAAATAAAACCAAAATTTGAGACCTATTTGTTTACAATTCCAGGATATACAGAACATTTCAAGCGAACTAAATCATTAGATTTGTCAGCGAGTGATAACCCAAGCAACAAAATTCAAACAAGATCGAAATGTGAATCTGCAGGTGTCTTCCTCTTGCCGAATTGAAAACTCATGTTGATCGATCAATAAAGATCACGTTGAATTCCAACAAATCTCTCTCGCACAATCGATCGATCGATCGAATTGTGAACCTTGGGTTTGCTTCGGGCCTTCGATCCTCAAGAAAAATAAACTACTTTCACAACCAATCTCTACAGACAGACAAATCCACCAAGGAAAGTTCCGAAAACAATCCCAAATACACTTTGGAATTACGCGTCAATTTTTTGAGTCCCGCTCTGATTAATTTAATAAAATAAAAAATTCTGTTTGTTTGGTAATTTTTACGTTTTCGGTTTATATTTACAAAAATTTTATAAATTGATTTTTGTTTATTTTTTATTTATTTTTAAAAAAACATAAAGTACAAACGCGTTTGGTAATTGACAAAATGTTTAAAAAATTTTAAAAATTTTAAAAAGAGTGAGAAATGACAAATGGTGGGAAGTGACGGCGGAAGACGGTGGTGGAATGTGGTGATGATGGGTGGTGGGTAGCTGGTGGTGGTGGGTGGGTGGGTGACGGTGGCGGGTGGTGGGTGGTAGCGAGTGGGTGGTGGTGGAGTGCTAGTGGTGGATGGGTGGGTGGCTGATCGGTGGCAGTGTGTGGACCTGTGTGGTCGGCAAGGCTGAGGTGGTGGCAAGTAAGTGGCTGGTGGTAGTGGCGCTGGTGGATGGCAGGTGGGCTGGCTGTGTCGTCCGGCGGCAGCAAAGGGGGGTAGCTGGTCGCGAGTGGGATGATAGGTGGGTGGTGGTTAGTGGTCGCTGGTGATAGTGGTCGCGGGTGGTCGGTGGTGCGTGGCAGGTGGGGTGACTAGTGGTGGTGGAAGACGGTGTGGAAAGTGGCGGAGTGGGGCTGTGTTGGGTGGTAAAAAAAAAAAAAACTGAAAACTCAAAATGGAAACACATTTTTTGTGTTTTCATTTTTTAGCTAAATTTATAAACTGAGACCACTGGTTTATAAATCAAAAACTTTACCAAACAAATTTTTATTTGAATTTTTTAAATTTTTGTAAATATAAACAGAAAACT